GTTCAATCTACAATTTCAAAAGATTTTTCTAACTTTTTAATTAAAGAATATGGGGAGGAAGTAGAAAAGTTAATTGCTAGAAGAGATTTAGGGCTTGGTGGAAGTTTCGGTGGTGGCCAAGAAAATGAAGAGAATAAGTGAATTTTATTATTGTAAATATGAATAAACTTAAAGAGATATGAATAATAAGCAAAATTTTGGTCCTTAAATGAAATTTGGAAAAATAAATGATTTTAATTACTCGGATAATTTTATTAATCCCTGGGATAATTTGGAATAATTAGTTGGAATATTCCATTGTTCCAATTATTGCTTCGGAAATATTTAATTTGGAATAATTAGGGATCATATAAGCCTGGCAAATAAAGCAAAAACTAATAACGATCAGTCCTGGTAGGGATGTAGAGCGTTTAATAGCTTTACATGCAAGAGCTTTCATGATCAATTCTAATCCAATCTTAGCTACTTTTTATGAAAGGGTTGTCCACTTTACTATAATTGAAATAATTTCAAATAATTTTTCAAAATTTAAATTATAGACCTGTATCAAAAAGAAGACCAATAATCTTTGTTCATGGATTGACAAACGTTGCGGGAACATACGAATATATTCGACGTTATTTCCTCACAAAGGGATATAATAATTTTGAACTTTATGCAACGACATATTCCTATGGTGTTAAAAAATTTCTTAAAGATAAGATGGAGTGCAGACATATAACTCAGGTTAATATAACTCATCTTATTAATTAACTCATTTTTCTAAATTTACATTTTCTTTGCATTGGACATATAAACAAAATACGTTATCAACTCAGATAATTACCCCGTGTAATTATTGTTTCATCCCCTCACTGGAATTCACTCTCTCTCTAGAATTATTTTTTTATCGTCTCTCGGAATGAGCTCAATGAGCTCCCATTATTTACCAAAATGTTTTTTAGAAATTTATTTGGATTCCTGCCATAATTAAGTATAACAATAATAATAAATCTAAATAGGCACAAAATAAATTTTATTTTAAGATTCGTCTTCTGATCGAAGCAGTTTCTCGGTATAAAAAATCAAATATTGACGTTGTAGCTTTTAGTATGGGATCACCTATGGCAAGAAAAGTAATTTTAAAATATTAACAGACAAAATATTATCAAATTTCCTTCAAATAAATAGGCTATACTTGGTGGAATTTGTGTTGATACTGGACAATACCTAGGACAACCATTAACTAATTTAGTCTATACATTTATTGGAGTTGCTGGTGCTAATAGAGATGCCGAGCCTTTGTGTAAATTATTATCTTGGGCAGAACCTTGTAATTCAATAAATGGAATTTCTTGTAATTCTGCATTTTTGAGAGACATTAATTCAGTGTAATATTTTAGCTATAACTTTTTTTCCTTTTGAAGATAATTTGATAATTCATTTTTCCTGGATACCCGACATCTTAAGAAATTTTTTGATATCAAGAAATAAAAATATGATTAATTAATATTAAAAATATTTAGTGTAGTTTACGAGGCATTTTCACGAATTTCGGTAATTCGTTCAATAGACGATACAATTGTTGGTAATATTGCATGTGACGGACAGTCTGTAAGTTCAATTAATGGACAAAATGATGAAATTGTGGTTAATATTAACTAATTAAAAAAATATTTTTTTTATTAATTAATTTAGTTGAAGGGTTACTCTCACCCAATGATAATTTATGCAACTCAGGATATTATTTATAGAATAATTCAAGGATTGAAAAATTAGATTTAATATTAAAAATTCTGTCTTATATTATGATCTCAATTATAAAAAATTATTTTATTTCATAGTGTAAGGCACCTGAGTGCCAACCACCTCCAGACCCCAAGCCCTCTCTCACCAACACCAATCCCTTTATTATTTCCACATATTACTTCCGTAATATATTGTTCCTTCACCTTTAATCTTTCCTCATTCCTTCCCACCAATTATACATTCACCTCTTCACATGTTTTCCCAGATTATTCACCTTTTTAAATTTTTATTTTTATTTATCCAACCACGCATCTTCCAATTAATCATTGTACAACTCCATTCAACTACACAACCAACCCTGGAAGAGAAGTAAGATGTTCATTTGAAGATTAATTTTAATTGAGATGTTGAGATTTTTAGAAATAAAAAAAATCTCCCGAGATTTTTAGAAATAAGTAAATTTTTGATTTTTTTTCTAACATACATATCTTATTAGAAATCATTTAGACAAATAAAATCGGAAAATATTTGTCTCTGGCCAAAAAATAAATCAGTTTTCATGCCTCACAAAGTTTCTAGAATTTTATTACTTTTAAAAATAGTGTTTATATTTTTTTAAAATTTTCACATATTTTTTATATTCAAAAATTATTTTTTGAAATAAAATAAATATTCTCATTGTTTTTTCATCAATTAGACTTTAAAATAATTTCGATGAAAACATTGAGAAAAACATAATAATTAAAAGTTAAAATGACCTTGCTAAATTAATTTTTCTCATTTAACATCCATATGCACTTTAAAATGACTTTAAAATTGTATTTTGGCCTGATAATTAAAAATAAATATTTAAATAATTTTGTTAATTTATTAATATTTATTAGTGACTGGATCGAGACAAAATCTCAAATAAAAATCTCAGTTATCTAAATCAATGTTTTTCGAGATATCGTGTAAAATTTGTCGGGTTTTGTCAAGATCGTTAATACTAAATTTTGTTAATTTTGGTTTATATCTTGAACATAGGCTCTAAAATACAGTTCTTCTACCTCCATTGCTAAAAAATTGGGAGTATTAAATATCCAAAAATTACTCATCTTTTTTGAGTCCACAAAGTTAAGCCAACTTGTATTTTTTAACTTTAATCTCCCCCCCCCCCCGTTGTCTCTATTTAATATTTATCTGAAATGATCAAACAATTTTATATATTTTTACATTTTAAATAATTTAACAGAAAAAATAAATTAAATGTTGGCTTCAATTATTTTCTTTCATTTAGTATTATTTCAATTCATTTTTATAGAAGCAATTCCAAATCCTCTAAGTTGTAAGTCTATAATTATTAATCTGAGGGAGAAGCGCTGACTTAGAGTTGCCTCAGCTATTGTAATTAATGATTAATTTTTTAAAGATTTTAAACTTGCTTATTATGAATGGAGATTTTTTCGTTTTCCAATAGAAAGCGAATACTTTGCTTTAAATCTTCTTGAGATTCATTATGCAAATTTATTGAATAATCAGGCAACAGATATTTTTAAATTGAAATTACAAATAACAATTATTTCACATACCTTTATGTTAAATAATGTTAAAAAGAATTTACATAAGTTAGAGGAAAAGACTGGGTAATATTCTAATAAAATTTGAGAGATATGTCATGAAAGATCAGCCTTTGTCGGCGATCCGACCCTTCATTATTCTCGACTAGTCGCTGCTTATATATTATATATAAAAGATGTTTAATTTTATAAATTTTAGTATCTGGTTTCGCGTAACACGGTTCATTTTTAGTATATTTTTAAATATCAGATTTGGTTTCGTATCGTATCCCTTGTAAAGACCTTTTTCCCATTGTTCTCGTTTTAAGTTATCAGTACAAATTCTAATTTTGGTACGAGCATAAAAGATTATGAGTAAAAAAGATTTTCAGTTTTTTGTCTAACTTCATACAAATTTATGTTTTTTTATGTAGACTAGCTGATTTAAGCAAAATGTCATATACGTACGCCTATTCACAACTCGAAGGTATTTGTAATTTGTTAAAACAAAAACAAATATTATCAAATAAATATTTTGAAGAAATAGATAAAATACAAAGAAAAATAAATAAAAAAGAAAATTTAATAGAATGTACTAATCAAAATGAAAGTGAAATTGAAAAAATAATTGAAAATTGGGAAGAGTCCATTCAAGAAACAAATTTTATAGTTTTTGTTCAATATTTTTAAAAAAAAAGAAGGGATTTTTATTTAAAAATGGGGTAAATTAATTATAAGAGTTTTTAAAATTTGTTTTAATGATGTAAAGCTATATAATTCCAATAGGCGGCGTGGTGTAATGGATAACACATTCGTCCAGTCTACTGACGATACTTGCTGCTTTGAACCCAAAAACACTATGTCAACCCAAATCCCGCTTAATCCCTTGATATCCATCTCATTCCTATGTTATCACTCGATATCCCCTTAAACTACACAAATCTCCGAAATAATATTATCCATTGTTTTCCACCCGGAGCCAACAAGGATCGTGGGCGATTCAATGTAATTTCGGCCGATTAAGAGAGATATAGTCGGATTAACGAAAATAGCTAGGATTTGTAAGTAAATGTGAGTTGGAAATTAATTGGGATTGGAAATAATTAAAATTTGGACTTGATATACCTATTTAATATTTTAATTAAAGTAAACAAAATGATCCTAAAAGAGCAATTTGTATTTTTATACAATTATTTGGTTTGGCTAGAACTGTAATGATCACTCAAAAATATACTCTTTTCTTTGGAAACAGTATTGGTCACTATATATTTTTAAATAAAAATTAATTCTAAAAAATTTTTTCAGACGAAAGTAATATTTTAGTTGAATTATTTAGTGGATATTTTGAAGAAAAGGCTAAAATTGTAGATAAATGGAGAATAAAATTAGCAATAGATTATTTTTTATATAAAGAATGGTTTTACAAAATTAATAGAAAATGTAAAAAAATATTTTTTAATTAAAAATTATCTTAATTACAGATGAAGAAAAATTAAAGGAAATTAAATTAATACTTGAAAAAATATTTGAATTTTATTGGGAAGGAGATTATTTTTTGAGAGAATTTATTTTAAAATTAAATGATCCACCTAAAGATATATTTTTGCTTCAATTTCAGGTATAATATTAATAAATATAAAGTAGAATTATTACATTAAAATGATTTAAGGAAATATTTTTGGACACAAAATTATATGCACAAAAAAGTATTAATTCTACAACAATTTTACAAGCTTTAAAATTTTGTATTGAAGAAATGTTTGAAGAATTAAAATTAATAAATAAAAATATCTGGCTAGAATGTGTTGAAATAAAATTAAAAAATCAAAAATTATTTGGAAAAATGATTGACGACCAAAAGCAAATTTATAGAGAAAAAGTTGTAGAATATTTTTTAAATAAGAATGGAGAAGTAGCTAAAGAGGACTTTGAGCATTTGACAAATAAAATTAAAGAAATTGATGGTAATTAATAGAGCCTGACTATTTAGACCCGAAACCGCAGACTTTTTTCAGATATGAAACCCGACTAGAAATTTTCTCAATCTGACCTACTAAGGATTATCGCTTATCTAAATTTATGGATATTTAAATTTAAGGCAAAATTGTAATAAAAATATTTTCTTCAATATTTTTCGGACATGTTTATTTCAAAGATTATTATGGATATACTATTATTTTCCAGAAAATTAAAAAATTAAAATTATTAATTTTATTAAGCAGGTAATGAATTCAAAAATTTTCTTGGAATCTCTAAAAGTAAATTTTATGAATTAGTTAAACAAGGAAAAGTGTCTTTGACTGAAGAAACAATAACAAAAGAGAGCGTAAGCTTTAATAATTAAAAATAAAATTTTGAAATTTTCACTAGGGCGGGAGCCAAAATTCCTTCTTTTAGTAAAAATTTTAGCTCTTTTCTAGTTATAGAGCAAATCGGATTTTTGAATTTTGACTCTTGAGAAGAGTGAGTTTAGAATATATGTAGAGTTCGTAAGGTTGGTGAGTGAACGGATACTTAAGTATTAAAGATAAGTCTTAGTGATTAGTAAACTAATAATGTGTCCCATAATATTATACATAAATTAATTATTAACAGAACAAAATTGTTGAGGAATTAAAAACGCCGAAAATAAATTTAAAGCCTGAAGGAAAAATTTATGAAAATAAAAAACAAACTAAAAGTACTAATCTAATATTAAATACTGAATGCCCAATAATTGAAGAGAAAAATTTAAAACAAAAAAATATTTCAAATGAAGTTGAGATATATAAGTTGCAAAAATCTAGCTCAGGTTTATATCAGAGTTGTACCCCGACCCGAACACGGAATATATTTTGATACCCGATCCTAACCCGTCCCAGAAACAATCTAAAACTTTGTAACGCGACATATCCGCCCACGGACGTGTTCGGGGGAACAACCCTTATTATTTATTTAAATACAGTTAAAAATAATTTTTATTTAAATAAAAGATAAAAATATTTACGTAAATAAAACATATCCATTGAGTAAATTGTCAAGAAGTAAATCGATGGAAAATTTATCTAAAAAATCGAAGCAAAGATGGGATAAAACTAAGAAAGGAAAAAAGACAAATTTATTTTTAAATTTTGAAGATAAATTGGAAGAGGAAGAAATTGAGGAAAATGAAATAAAAAATGGAATTGATGAAACTTCCGTGAATGAAACAATAAATAAATTAACTGAGATGATTGAATTAAAAAGTAATTTAAAATTTATATTCTGATTCAGATCTTAACTAAAGTGATAATTAAATCAAAAATCCGAATCTGAAAAAGGTCGCACATTATATATCAATATATCAGGGGATAAATATCAGGGATATCTCTAGCCTTAATTGGTGACATCTTGAATCGAAAAGCTTTAGGTTCCATCAAATAACCCAAATATATTAACCGTATAAATATATTTTTCGTAACAATATATTAGATATATTGTTTGTTTAGAAATACAAGAGATTAATCGAGATATATTAAAAATCGCCCCTTGATAATTGAGATTTTTGTTCGAGATCTGGTCAGAACTTCTCAGATATAATCAGAGCTTAGACATTAGAAAGTAAGTTATGACAACTTAAACACTTTATTACACCTTACACCTTATGCTATCATTTTTCCAAGATTTTTCCTTTCAAATCCGTCCCAAACCCCGAATGATTTAACAAATGACGACCCAAACATTCTCAACCTTAATTATAAGTTTTAAATAAATTTTTAAATTAAGATTTAAAAGAATCGTTTAAAGAAGGATATTTAGAAAAACATTTAGAAGAAATATATTCACTAAATCTCCGTATAACAATCCAAAATAAAGAAAGAATAGTGGTACCTAATTTAGAGGAATTAACGAATATAATTGTTTTAACAAAATTAATTGAAGATAAGATTCTGAGTGCAAGTTTGTTGGCAAAAACAGAAATAATAATTGATCAAAACAAGTAATCAAAATTATTAAATTATTTGGAGTAATATATTTATTGGGTAGTGGTGCTGAGCCTTTAGTAGCTCCGGCCATGACTTTTTTCAAATCTTTGCTCCGGCTCCGGAGCCAAAAAACCAAAAAAATAATAATTACTTCTAAAATAATTTTTTATTAAAGAAAAGAGAAAGCTAAAACTATAATGAAGTCTATAGAAATATTTTGGAAGAAATTTAAAAAACAAAATTTCAAACAAAATGGAGATGCAAACAAGCATGATATAAATAAATTAATGATTTTATTGTTTAAGATAAATCGTAATCTGGAAAATATTTATTTTAAATTACCGTTGGATGATAATTTTGTTGAAAAAAGACTAAACAAAGTTGATGAAGAAGAATCTACATCAAAAAAAAGTTTATTCGTCAAAATTTCAAAGATATTAACAAAAATTAATTTTCAAATGTTTTGTACCATTTTTTCAAAAAAATTAAAAATGACAAGCGATAATCAAATAAATATTTCTCAGGATAAATTTGAAAATTTTTATAAATTTATAAATTACAATGAAGAGGACCCTTCACTTAATTTTGAATTTTTTGAAGGAATTTTTGAATTGTTCGGAGGAGAAATGAGTAATTTGACTAAATTTTGTCAAATTTTTATGTCAAATATTCTTTCAATTCATGCAATGTTTGAACAACAAACTATTGGTTGGTATAGATTATTTAGTAATTAGTGTTGTCAGTTTTTGGAATACTCTGCAAGACTTAACTTAATGTATAACTAATCACTCTTATAGTAAGAGAAGGATCCAGCTGGCAAGGAAGAAAAAGTTCCAGCTAGCTAGGATTTAAAATGCTCAATAGGCTGGGGTTTAAAATCTATTGAAAGAGAAGGTGAAAGAGCGTTTCGGTAGCTCAATTGGTAGAGCACCTGTACGTGGTGAGTGAAAGCACCAAGCAATAACTCTCAGGAGGTCGCACGATCGAAGCCTGCACGGGATTAAACTTTTAAATCGCTCTTACTCTAATCACTCTTAGCATAGCTAAACACTCTAACCACTCTTACTGTAAAACCTTTAGAACTTTCATTTTTGCTATATTTTATGATTAATTTTTTAGATGATAATTTACAAAAAGAGATTTATTCGCTAATCGAGAATGGCACTTTAACCACAAAAGTTATTCCATTAGAAAAAACTAAATGGCTCTCACCTAAGTTTTATGAATATAGTCAGGTGTTCAATATTGAAAATAAAAATTTTGATTTAACATATTTTGATAAATTATATAAAATAAGTGAAAGAATAGAAAAATCAAGAGAAAATTGTTTAAATTGGTTAAAAGAAAAATTTAAGAATTGGTTAAAAATAATTTGTGAAAATAATTCTAAGAAATATGGAGGTGAATAAATTTATAGTATAACTTGGAGAAAACATGCAAATGCATGTTTTGTATGGGGATATGCCATGTGAGAGTGTTCAAATATGGTGTTTTTACGTTGGGTCTTAAAGCATATATTTGGACATAGTTTTTTGATTTACTGTCATATATTCTGAACCTTACTATAATTCGTGAAGTAATAATTTATTTATACATGTTAAAGGATTTTCGATGATTGTTGGAGGATCCATACTCTTGGATACAGCTACAGATAATTCTGATATTGACATTATTTTCTTAATACCTTCATTGAATTTTTGTGATGGTTTAGAGGAACAATCAAGAAACGATTTAATTTTTGGAAATAATGTAAATTCCTTTTATTTTTATTTGGCTAAAGAATTAGAGGAGGAATATTCAAAAGAATTGGTATGGAAATTTTATTTTATAGTTTATAAAGGTTTTCGGATATTATCCGAATATCCATGGACTTTACAGGATCGGTTAATACTGGTAAAGTATCATTAACATATTATTTGTTAATAATTTAATAAATTAATTTAATTAATTAATAATTTAATTAATAATTAATTATTAATAATTTAATTTATTAATGATTTAATAAAAATAACAAATATTTCATAATTATAGAATTTCAATTGTGATTTATTCAATATCAATTCAATAGCCAATGCCCGTGTACCACTCATAGAATTAGTGATAGAAGGACACGAAATGGATATTATGTTTGCACAACTTCCAGTTACATCAATTCCTGCAGAATTAAAATTGTCTGAACATAATAATAACGAAGTTATTAAAGAAAATATTTACATATTAAATGAATTAATTGAACGAATGGATAATTTAAATGATTCTGAACATTTTCAGAGTATCTTAATTCTGACAGGCTAGTTTCTAATAAATTATATTAAATATATATTGGTAAAGTAAAAGTATGCTGGAAAAATTTTGTAAATCAAACCTATGCACATGTTGCGATATACATATTCGCTATGGAGAGCTATTGTGTTGGCGAATATAGAGCTATTGGGTTGGCCCCGTGTGTACAAATCCACACGGGGTGCTATTCTTTTGGATCCCACATAAAGACTGATCAACTGGGAACTCTTAGATTTTTTAACAATTAAAATAATATCAGAGACAAATTAAAAAATAAATTAAAGATAAATATTTTTAAGGGTATAGAATGTCTTACCGAACAAAATTTTCTCTAATAAATCCTGAAAGTGAGGAAATGTTTACTAATTTATTGCGCGTTGTTAAACAATGGGCAAAAGGTTCAAATTATTTTTTAACTAACAATCAAAAATTTATTTAGCTCGACATATTTATTCAAACATTTTTGGTTATCTAAGCGGCACAATTTTATTAATAATGTCAGCAAAGATTTGCCTTTTATATCCTAATGGAAATTTACTATTTTTGTTAAGAAAATTCTTCCTAATTTATAGCATTTGGTTCGTTTATTTAAATAAATTTAGCACAATTAAGGGCTAAACTACAGTTTCCGGTTCTGGCTCAGAATTGGACGATTTATATGTCTTTCGATAGAGCTCGGCGAACTGAATCGAATGACACCAAAATTATTCAGCGGAAAAAAATTCTGAGCCGAGTTACAGACCCC